TTCCGTCAACAATTCCGAATTACTGAAGCTCAAGTAAAGGGTTTAGTATATATTCACTGTATGTTAATAAAGTAATCAGAGTGGAATAAAAATAGATTATAAAATTTACGCTGATGCAACTTTTTGTCTGACTGCACAACATGTAATGGAAGAGAAGGCTTTAAGATCTGTTTTTGACATGCCTCTAAAAGTAGATGTCATACTCCTTTTGTCTCATCAATGTCAAAAAACTTTCGTTTGAGAGGCAACTTTAGTTTTTGGGAAAGAAAAAAATTCACAAGAAGACAAATTTGAAGAACATGCAGGACGATTGAGTACACATACTTATTTTCAGAATACAAGCAGTTCTCCGATTGGTTATTGAACAATGAAAACATGCATTGTCATGCAATACAAAACATTTGGAATACGTTTCTTTGACTGAATAATGCAAGATTAAAAGTCATGTGCTTAATTCACAGCCATTTATTTACAAGTCAACTACTCGGGCAATTGCAGAATCGTTTTGATCCTGAGCTTGTAAGACAAACCTAATATCACTGGATTTAAACACTTCTTTAATCTCCCGAGAACATTCCTTCTTTAGCTCATATTCCAAGAATATTAAGTGAATACAATTATTGCAAAAGAAATTGAATATTCATTTTGTTTCGGCTTGGCAGTTTACTAACGAGTTAACAAAACTTAAATTCTGCTTTTTGCTTCTAAGAATACAACAATATTTTAAATACGAGGGCTATCCAGAAAGTAGATTACGTTTTGGAATAAAAAATTAACAAAGTATAGGAAACAAATTTTATTATATACAGATGAAAGCCACACTCAAATACTACTTTTCTACATAGTCACCATACAAATTAAGGCATTTATCGTAGCGATGTACGAGCTTGGAAATTCCTTCGTCGAAAAATTCGGCCGCCTGCGCCTTCAACCACTTCGTTACCTCTTCTTCTTTTCGCTGATGATTTCGTGCAACAAACTTCGCGAAATTTGTGGAAAACTCAAAGAAAGTTCCGTTATTGTGAAATTTCGATTTTCACGGACTTTAGCATCGACTTTTTCGAGAAGTTCGGCGGTCACTATGGCTGGGTCTCCCACTTCGATCTTCGTCGTGAACATTGGTTCGGCCATTTTGAAATCTTATGACCCACTGACGCACTCCACCTTCAGTGATAATGTTGTCCCCATACACTTCACGAAGCTGCTGCCGATAGATTTCTATCGGTTTACAGTTTTTTGCAGTCAGAAACCTTATTACTGAGCGCACCTCGCAGCTCGCGGGATTTTCAATTAACGCAGACATTTCAAACCGTCACAGTATCTGAACGGAGCACAGCACAAACCTCTCACTAGCACGGCTAGATGCAGACTGAGCTGCGCAACGCTCTGACCCCAAGATGGCCGCGCTAGCCCCGCCCCTAGTGGACACAGACGGAAACGTAATCTACTTCCTGGATGGCCCTCGTATTTACAAATAAAATATTAAATTGGAGATTTAATTGGAACCTCACCAGTTGCCTAGCATTTGAAGATTGTTAAATACTAATTGTTTGTTGCGAAGTCTAACCCAGGCTTGCATGGTTGGTTTCGTGGTTTTCCCCATGTGTAATGTGTATACGAGCCAGTTTTCCTTAGAAAGTCCTCCACGAAGGCATCCCTCCCCTTTAGCCCTCATGTGATTTGCCATAATTAAATAATCCAATCCAATCCTTAATTAAATATAATTGATTTGTAACTTCTACTAGAGCTGACGGTAAGAAGTAAAGTGTAAATAAATAATATCGTGTGCAATCTTGATTAATATAAAATTTAAAATATTTGCATTCAGACAGAAAGTTTTTTGAAATATTTGCAATTACTTTATAAGAAGGATTTATTAATAACCGTAATAATTACTTATTATATTACTGGTGATTAGAGTTCAGTTCTTCACAATTACATTCTAAAATAGAATTTTAAGGATATAATGAAAATACGCTACACATAAAAATACAATTTAGGATAAAAAATGAGTTGATTTTTTATGTTTAAAAACTTCTTAAATTCATTTAATAAACATTGTACCCTCCTTGTTAATTGAATCCAGAATTTGGGTGTCGTTTATATAATTATTCTTACTTGTCTACAGAACCTGCTGACTTATTCAGCCATTAAGTAGCTGCAGATCATTTCTACATAACCATTGAACTTCCATTTATTCGGTTTCTAGAGGGTTGTATGTTTATATCATAGTTTGACTTTTATAAAATTGATTATTCTAAATCTTATGTTTCTATAAAAATATACTGTGCTTTAAAAAAATGGATGATAGTATCATCCGCTCTTTCAGTCACTTCATAAGCAACAGCTTGTTTAGAAATAAATTATGCAGTTACTGTCATAAAATATTTTCATAAAATTCAAATAAACATCAAACGAAAGTTCTCAGTTTTAGAGAATTCGATTTAAATGAAGTTAAGTTGAAATAGCAGATGATAAAATGCCAAAGATAAAAATTTAAACTTACAAATATTTTTTTAAAACAAGGAAGAAAATTGTTGAAAATTTAAATATCATCATCTATAATTTAAAAAATAGCTTTTCATATAGTATTAATAAATATTTATTACGGATCATTGAGGGAAAAAATTTCATATAATTAATTCTCCGTAAAATTTTACTTGAAATTTAAGGTTAAAAATAGCTATGGCAATTCACTGTAACAAAAATCCATAAACCACATTTGGCGTTATTATCGCTCAAAAAAAATATGCCAAATTTCAAAACGTGAAAATATGTAAATTCGTGTATATCTTACAAAATTTTGAATAAAAAGGTCTAATTTTTTGCAGGTATGCTTAGAAATACACCTACTATTTATAAAAATTATTTTAAAATAGAACACAAAAAATAAGTAAATTTTATTTAGAATGAACATAATTTCGAAATGTGAAAGGAAAAATCAAAAAAGTTTAATAAAAAAAGAGATATTAATAAATATTTGCCAAATTCAATTAACATTGAGGAGCTAATATTTTAAAAACTACTTGTACAATTTTTACAAAACTTGGTATTAAGGCATAATTTGAATCGTAGAATCGAAATATGGGAAAAAATTGGTATGTTATTTCAGAAAAAGTCCAATTTTGTGTCAAAATTCCTATGTTAGAATAGTGCTATATATAAATCTAATATATATTCTAAGTCGCGTTTTTGAGATATGAAGAACGCAATTTGAATTCCGTGAATCGCCCCAGTAGAACGGAAGATATAGTCCCCCCCCCACTTTTTTTTTTTTTTTTTAGCAGTGTACATTTGTAGGCTTGGTCTGGGTATAAAAATTAATCTGAGTAAAGTCTGAGCCATTTCTGGGCATTTTTAATCTCTACATGCCTGTTTCAGTGCAGTCTTTTGATCGTAACATCATTTTTAATAGTCGGTGAAATAAATATTTTCTCAAAGTAATTCACCATCTACGCACACACTAGTGCAATAACATCCAGAAGCTTATCAGTTGGAATTTAAGCACTACTTAGCATATTCTTTTCAACATGTTAGAAAGGGCAGATGTAATACTTTATGTATTGTGTTGTTCTTAAATCAAATCCTTTATATTATTTTATGTTACCCACCTACCAATTTCATTGGGTTTCTTCCAATAAAGTTCTATTCATTTCCCTGATTAGGTGTGTAATAATTGTGTCTTTTCTCTGCTTTTTCTTGAGTCAGGTTGAACAATTCTTCCCTTTTTCATTTTGCATTTAATTCATATTCATGTTACTTCACTTAAACTACAGTTGAACCCCTCCATATAATGAACTTAAAGGGACCAGAAGTTTTGTTTGCTATATCTGATTTGATATGAAAAATGGATTATCTAACTAAATAAAAATTGAATGATGAATAAGGGAATAACTTACTAACATTGTTACATGTACCAAAAGATATACTTATTGTATCATCATTCTCTTAAAGTTCAGTGTCGCACCTGTCTCTCATAGACTGTCTCATTTAGAACATAGAGAAAAGTGAGGTCAAGATAAAAGGAAAAAACTGTAAAAAAAAAAAAAAAAAAAAAAAAAATCTGAAAGGTTTCGGATTTTAAATTACGTCCAAAGGGGTGTTTTTTTAACGTTTTGTGTGCTACCTTTATTAAATATCATGTTCTTTGCTCTTAAGCCATGAAATTCAGTTCAATAGCAATGTTGCAAAATAATTTTTAAATGAGCATATATTTAGAATTTCCGATAAGTTCCGTGTGCTGGAGATAAAAAGGTCTTTTTCCCCCGTAGAGAGCTGCCATGGCTCCCTTTTAAGTTGTTATTTGTTACTCAAAAATTCATTAAAGTTTTGCAAATCGATAATAAAACAAATTTCAAATTTGGTCTTCCACATGCCCATATTCGTAGGAGGATTACGTCATTCAAAATTCAATGGCTCTAGGTACCGTTGTTTTATCACAATGCAAGAAATATACCTACATTTATGCAGATTTTTCATTATTTAATTACTTTAAATATAATGCAGGACTCTAACATTTGGTGGCAACAGTTTGAAAAGTGAAACGGACATTTATAGTGATTCAACGCAAAATCGCAAAACGAAAACAATAGTCCTTTGGACTAATAATGTAAAAATGTTTTCTTTATGGATGGAATGCAAATGATTTTAACAGTTAGTTATAGTTTCTTTGAAACATGCAAAAATTTTGGAAAATCATATAAAAGTTTTAATCAAAGATATCCACACAGTTGGTTATTTCTGATTTTCATACTCTTGAAGGTTCACTATGACAGCTTCAAATTATATTAAATGTACAGGAAACTTAACAGGGTCAAAAGGTTCATCATAATGATGATTGACTGTAACTGGTTTTTCTGCATATAAGATGGTCTTAACAGACACTGTTTCGATGAATTTTTTATGTATTGCAGTATGATTCAGTGAGATTAACAAACTAATAGATAAATACTGTTAATAAATAAAGTGAAATTAGAAGATATTGGTGTGAGAAAACTTACTTGTTACTTCTGCACCAATATCCAAATTAAATATGTGCCCAAAGTAGGTTATTGTTTCCTAAATAGTGAAAATTGGAATTAAAACAAAATCATATATACAGTACATATAAAGCATTTTTAATGAAGTTTTCTAGTTCTCCTGAAATTAAAAATACAATGCATAGTAATGTTTTTTAATAAATACTTTCTAAATTGTTATTTGTAAGTAAAACCTAGAAATTATGAACAAAAGATGTGTCAATTATGAATCAAAGAGAAAGAGATAATCAATGTAGTGAAAATACCCATCATATCTATTCCAAGATATGGGCTTACCATTTTTTAGAATATTGATGATCCTGTATGGTTTATTTCTAGATAACAGATCAAATTATGGATAGTGCTGTATAGTAACATGCTGCTGAACAACTGAAATCTGCAATGTAATCAAAACAGCAGATACTTGTCTCAAAATGAATTACTGCTTCCTGAAATGGCCCTTTCCATTCACTGGCCCATACTGTGATAAAAGTAAATTTAGAGTGTAACATCCACTTCTCTATCCACATTTGGTAACATTGGAATTTCAGTTATTTGGACCTTTCAAAGAATATTTCTGGGGCATGTACATGGTAATAAGATAATGAAGCCAATTGGTTTATAGCCTGCACCAAAATGTTTTGGAATGCTCATAAGCAGGTAGATTAAATGAATCAAAGTAAGATTTCCTTTCCTTTATTTCTCACTATTGTGATTATTCTTTATTTATATTTGGTTATATTCTTATTTTCATTTTTGTGGTTAATTTGCTTTTGCTTAATAACATCCTAGTGCACAAGGTTCAGGTTTCTCAGACTGTTGTGAAGTAATGCAGGTTTCAGATCAATCCATTGTAATCAACAAATTTTACCTTAAGTGCCCTTCCCCCTTTTTTGTGTGTTTTCTTTCAGAATCTGAAGCATCAGTTGCAAGTGCCACATTACAGAAATAATGTTGATTTGAAAAATGCCTTTCAAGTATTGTTTGAAAGGTGTGATAAAAGATTCCCCTTCCCTGCTGGAGTCTGATACTTAATGGGTCACTGTGCATCAAAGTTGAAAGTAACTATATACAAAATGAAAAATTAATGTTAAATTAAGCTTAAAGTATTAAATGCCCCTCATATTCATCCATTGAAATTTATGCAGGCACAATATGTAGATATCTTTTTGATCTTGTTTCTTTTCTAAACACTAATAGAAGGGGGAGCACAGCATCCCAGGAAGCATAGTTTACAATGAATAATGGCAATAATTTCACTGATTATAATAATAATATGGCAATAATTCACATATCATCTTTAAGACAACTAGAAAAAAATTCAATCTCCCCCCTCCAAAAATATAGGAGGATGTCACTTTTAAGAAATTTGTTTTGTGAGGTGTAACATATCCCCTCATGAAGATTAAAATAATTTTCATTTTAATTCAGAAAATACATACAAGTATTTTAAATGTCAAAGTAAATAATGCTGTCAATAAAAAAAGGTTTAATTATTTTTAAATAATAATTTTTTGCAATAATGTTAATCAAAATATAGAATGGCACTTATATAATACCTGATCTTTTGATTTGCATCTACATGTCTGAGTGACACCTTCTAAATTATTCAAAGAATTCCATCCTAATCAAAAACATGCAAAGCAGTCAAAACACAGTATGAAAATAAACCAAGTAACAGATAATTTATTCTTAATATTAATTTATGCCTTACCTTTGGGAAGCACCAAAAGATAATGAACAAAAATATTAGAGAACTGGAAGTTTTGAGCAGAAACTGAAAAATTAAAATATCCCTGAATTGTGTACAGATTAAATTAAGATTTTATGTATGTATACTGATATGCATACACATGTTTGTTTTACGTAGAATAATACTAATATTTTCGAAACGACAAAAGTTAAAATACTTTAAATACATCCTTTGGAATGTAACATTACACATAAATTAATAGTACTATATTTTTTATGTTAAAAATCTTACTTTAAGTTTTTAAAATAACTTAAGAATGTTTTACATTGCTTAAAAGGCTAATTATATATTATTTTGAATATATCTGATGTAACGAATCAAATGCATTTACTTCAAATTCCATTTAGAGCATTAAATGTTTAAGAAAGAATACATATTTTGCAAAACAACATTATTACAATAATTAGGCATGATTAAATGCCAATAATTACGATACAGTTTATTTTTTTATTGTTGTCATAAAATGCATATATAAGCTATACATTGGGACACTTAACAACAGATCAAATAAAATTGATTAAAATAGCCAGAAATACAGCGTGTGGCAGGGAAACTATCTTATTTTAAAAATGAATAACAAATAGTATAAGAGATATCAGTTTAATTTTTTTCTAATTTATAGAGAGACACTTAAAGTTTTTTTTATTATGGTTTAAAAATAATAATCATTAAGGTGTGGCCTCTGTTCTGGTCAATGCATTGAGATAGTCAAGCTTTTGAAGTTCCTTTCCACTTTTACCAGCACATCAATGGGTATGTTGTCGATAGCAGCTTAACTAGTGTTCTTCATTTGAACCAGGATCTTTGGACATTCATTGCAAACAGCCCCACAAAAAGAAATCAGGCGAGCATGCTGGAAAGATGGATGAAAATGCAATTCTTCGTGAAGAAATCGTCTTACAGAGCGATCAGACATCCGAAGGTCAGGTGCATGTTTGCGCATAGATCGTGTGGTAGATCGCAAGATTGACTGCCTAACCTACTCATTGTTTTTGGGTGTCCTGATGGTTCTTAAACCTTTGGGGGGGTTCTCTAAAGGTGTCCACCCATAAAAGAATCAATTTCCAATCAGGAACCTGACCTACAGGGCGATATTAAAGTAAATAATATTTAGAAGTTTTCACATTTATTTAATAATGGCTTGAACCTGCCTTGGCACTGACACAAGATGCTAAAATATGACAAGAAAAATCTATAACCATTTTATCTTGTGAAAGAGATTCACAAGTGAATATTAACAAGTGATAATACAAGAATATTAACAAGATTAACAAGTGAATATAAGTTGGCAGAAGATTGATTTGCAGCAGAACATTCTGTAATACTTGATTTGCTTAATGTCAGAAAATGTGAAAGGCATCTCATACATCCCCAACTTTCAGAATATGTTTTTAACTCACATTCTTCTAGTTTATGCATTATAATCTTGGAATATCTTACTTGGATCGTAAAGAAATGATTCACACAAAGAAACTATTACACTATGCAACAGGGAAAACAAGTGAAATAGACACAAGGGGGCGTGAGCTACTCAGAATGCATAGATGGTGCTGAGCGCAAGCGTACGGTATAAGTCAGTGCTCGTCCCTTTTGCTGTCATCATTGAGAGTGTGGACAGTAACGATGGAAGTTGACTATGATGGACAGCATGGTTCTATGGCTGTTGTGATGGATGTCATTTTTGATTGCACGTTGAATGTTAACAAAATCTGACTCGGTAATATTAACATTTATATTTAATTCTAGGATGCTATATATTTTAACATATATTCATTTATACACAATCACATTGCATGTAGTTACAAGATGAGCATTTTTACAGTTCGCAAGTCCGCATGAGTAAAAATCAAGAAAGTCATATTACAGCTACGATAACATCACGGAGGGAAAGAGAGGTGAGTGCGTGCTTCACCGATGGCAGCCAGGAACCGAGTAACCAGTTCGAATTTTCCTCCAGAGAGGAAGAGGGAGAAAGCTGGTAGTGCCCTCTCTCGGGGCAGCGGACAAATAATAATAATAAAGAGTTCTTCACAGTATCCCCCCCCCCCGAGTACCAAAGGTACAATGAAAAAAATCAGCTCACAAATATCTGGTGTTGAAGCGCACACGTCTTCCCGATCGTGTGACGACTGGTGGAGCACTGGGAGGAAGCGTAAGGTTCGGTCGAAGGAGGAGTATCTGGAGAAACGGGGAGAGCAGGAATGAAACAGGGGAGGATCGCTGGTCACAGGAACCTGAGTGTTTGAAGCTTCGAAGAAAGCAGCAGGCTTCAGACGATCTATGCTCAGGAACGGTTTCCTTGTCGTGCACGAGAACGGTGAAATTATTGTTACGTGCACAGACCTTGAAGGGTCCCTTGTATGGAGGAGTGAGTGGTGGTTTGACCGCGTTGTTTTGCACAAACACGTGAGTGCAAGTGCTCAGTGCGTGGTGCACGAAAGGGGCAGATTTGTTGTGGCACGAAGTAGGAGTCGGAGACAGCTTCTTCATCGCCTCTCGGAAAGGATGCTGGATCGACTGGAGCAGAGGATGGCTGAAAGAACTCAGATGGTAATCGAAGGGGTGTGCCGTAGACAAGTTCAGCGGATGTACCTGCGAGGTCTTGCTTGAAAGAAGAACGCAAACCAAGAAGCACAAGAGGAAGTGAAGTAGTCCAACGGGTGTCATTACGGCACTTCAGGGCTGCTTTCAGGTCGCGATGTAAGCGTTCCACTAAGCCGTTGGTGGAAGGATGGTATGGTGAAGTGCGAATTCGGCGTATTCCAAGCATAGATGTCAGAGAAGCGAAAAGGTGTGACTGGAATTGTCGACCTTGATCAGTAGTCACATTGATGGTACACCAAATCGTGCAATCCAACCGGTGATGAATTGTCGAGCCACAGAGTCAGCAGAGATGTCCTGAATGGGGAAAGCTTCAGGCCAACGAGTAAATCTGTCAATGCAGGTGAGTAGATATCGATAACCGTCAGATGGTGGCAGAGGACCGACGATGTCTATATGGACATGGTCGAATCGTTCGGATGGCATCGCAATTTTTTCCAAAGGGCTATGTGTGTGCCGGGTAACTTTTGAACGTTGGCACATGATGCAGGAATGAGTCCAGTTGGCAATGTCCTTTAGCATGGATGGCCAAACGAATCTTTCTTGTATGAGCTTTTTGGAAGCCCGGATACCTGGGTGCGATAGGTTGTGAAAACAGTCAAAAACTTTTTTCCTGAACTCAAGTGGTACATAAGGTCGCAGTCTGTTGTTGGAGGTATCGCACAATAGTTGGAGGTCCCGAGTAAGTTGTAATGACTGGAATTTCAGCGAGCAGTTTGGGTCTTCACTCAGACGTTTTAACTCCTCATCAGTGGCTTGCGAGTGAGCAATAAGCGTGAAATCCAGTGGTGCATTGGCATCGATGCCCTGAATACGTGAGAGAGTATCCGCGACGACATTGCTGGAACCTGATATATGCTGAATATCAGTGCTGAATTGAGCTATATAATTTAAATGCCGAATTTGTCTCGGGGAAGCAGAATTTGATTTTGATGTGAATGCATAAGTTAGAGGTCGGTGATCAGTAAATATAGTGAAGTGTTGACCTTCAAGATTATGCCTGAAATACTTAATAGCTGCGTAAATAGCTAATAATTCTCTGTCATACGTGCTGTATTTTTGTTCTGTAGGGGACAGCTTACGTGAGAAAAATCCTAGCGGCTGGTAGTCATTAGAATGTCGAACGTTTAAGACAGCTCCGATGGAAATGTCAGAAGCGTCGACCATAACACTCAGCTTTTGGTTTAGGAGAGTGATAGGAGAGAGTTGCAGCATTACTAAGGTCGTGTTTACATTTTTCAAATGCCTGATTAAGTTCGTCGTTCCAAGGAACAGGGCGTTTATCATTTTTACGTGAGTCTTTTAAGAGTTCATTCAGTGAAGCTTGGGTCTCGGCTGCCTTTGGTAAGAAGCGGCGATAAAAGTTTATCATGGCTAAAAAAAACGTCTGAGCTCGACAATAGTGGTAGGTTTTGGGAAGTCGGCAATTGCTTTTGTTTTCTCAGGCAGGGGTTTTACACCTGAGGCAGTAATGAGGCAAACCTAAAAATGAAACAGATGGTTTTCCGAGTACACATTTGTTAGGGTTTAATGTCAAACCATGTTTATTCAAACGATCAAACACTTGACGAAGATGACGGATGTGCTCTTCTTCGCTAGTCGATGCAATAAGGATGTCGTCAAAATAAGGGATGCAAAAATCCAATCCAAATAAAACTTCATGTATAAAACGTTGGAAAGTTTGGCCTGAATTTCGTAAACCAAACGGCATAGCCAAAAATTCAAAAAGACCAAAAGGGGTTGTGACGGCAGTTTTCGGAATGTCTGCAGGGTTAACAGGAATTTGATGATAGGCACGTGCTAAATCAAGTGTTGAGAATATGTTCTTTCCTGAAAACATTTTGAGTGCAATCCTGAATATGGGGTACGGGATAGCGATCCGGAATTGTAACGGCATTTAAGCGACGATAATCCCCGCACGGTCGCCAGTCGCCATTAGCCTTACGAACCATGTGCAGGGGGCTTGCCCAAGGACTTTTTGAAGGCTGAATGATGCCTTTTGATAGGAGAAAATCAAACTCTTGACGTGCAGCTTGAAGTAATTCTGGAGATAATCTTCTAGGTTTGGAGAAAATAGGAGGTCCTTTAGTTTCAATGTGATGGAAAATCGTTGACATTGGTGGCCTCTCAAAAGTTTGCGAAGGATTCGTCAAGCTAGGGTAATCGGCAAGAATTTTGTCAAATTTTGAGTTACCCATCAAAATATGAATGCTAGTACTGAGCGGGTTCACATTAGGAAGTCTACCGCAAGAATATAGTTTTGTTTGTCCATCAATTAAACGGTTGTTTTTAACGTCTATGAGTAAGTTGAACTTTGTGAGAAAGTCAACACCTATGATGGGTTGATTGACGTCTGCCAGGATAAAAGGCCAAGTAAATGAGCGACGTAAGTTTAAATTGATGGTCAAAAGTTTGGTGCCATA